CTCGTTGTGGCGATTCACTCACTTGGAGGTTCACGCGCTGATTGGCATCACTCGCCAAACCCTCAATAGGGTGCCGCACAACCAACACAAGATGAGGATCACACAAGCCACAAGCAATTTACTAGAGTACCTTTTGGTGCTCCGCCGGAGAAAGGTCAAGAACCCCTCACAATCATCACGATCGGAGTCGGAGACAATCACCTCCTCCACTCAACGATCCTTGCTGCTCCAAGCCGTCTAGGTGGCGGCAACCACCAAGAGTAACAAGCGAAATCCGCAGCGAAACACAATCACCAAGTGCCTCTAGATACAATCACTCAAGCAATGCACTTGGATTCACTCCCAATCTCACTATGATGATGAATCAATGATGTAGATGAGTGGGAGGACTTTGGCTAAGCTCATAAGGTTGCTATATCAATGAAAATGTGCAAGAGAGCTCCCTTGAGCCGGCCATGGGGCTATAAATAGAGCCCTAGTGAAATAGAGCCGTTGTACCCTTCACTTGGGCACAACACGGGTGACCGGACGCTTGTCCGATTGACCGGACGCTGGCCCTCGGCCGTCCGGTCACGTGATTCACGCCACGTGTCCCCCGCTTCAAATGTTGTTCGTCGATTTCAACGGTCACGAAGTCGACCGGACGCTCGATAAAAAGCTGGCCCGACCCGCTGGAGCCACAGCGTCCGGTCGAGTACAGTAAGGGTCCAAATCTATTTTTCTTCGACCGGACGCGTCCGATCCACCTCGACCGGACTCGGCCAGCGTCCGGTGGTATACCCTAGCCATCAGATCGCTGAAGTCGGCGACCGGACGCAGACGCCGGTCGGTGCTTCGATTCGGATTCAGCGTCCGGTCATCGGACCGACGCCAAAGATCATCATTCGATCAACTCCATTTCAACTCTTACTTCTTCACCCTTGCTCAAGAGTGCCAACCACCAAGAATTTTGCATCCGCGCAATAGAAAATAGACAGACATTTTTTTCCGAAAGCGCTTGATCCGCCTGTGCAAGCTTCGGCGGGGGAGAGAGGGACCCAAACCCATCTCAACCCTACAAACACCTTGTGCACATGTGGTAGCATATTTACACAAATATTATCAAGGGTGTTAGCACTCCACTAGATCCTAAATGCATATGCAATGAGTTAGAGCATCTAGTGGCACTTTGATAACCGCATTCCGATACGAGTTTCACCCCTCTTAATAGTACGGCTATCAAACCTAAATGTGATCACACTCTCTAAGTGTCTTGATCACCAAAATAAAATAGCTCCTACAAGTTATACCTTTGCCTTGAGCTTTTTGTTTTTCTCTTTCTTCTCTTCAAGTTTAAGCCCTTGATCATCTCCATGCTATCACCATTGTCATGTTATGATCTTCATTTGCTTCTCTATTTGAAGTGTACTACCTATCTCATGATCACTTGATGAACTAGGTTAGCACTTAGGGTTTCATCAATTTACCAAAACCAAACTAGAGCTTTCAGATAGGCCTCAGCTCGTTTGAGCTCGTGAGCAGCTCGCGAGCTGGCTCGTTAAAACAGCGAGCTAGACTTCCAGCTCAGCTCGTGAAAAAGTTAAAATGAGTCGAGCTGAGCTGGACACAAGTCGAGCGAGTTTGCGAATCGCGAGTATTTTGTCTAGCCCTATCTATATCTATATCTCTTACTATATTTGTCCTAGAAAAGATGTAACTATGGTATGCGTGTCCGTTAAACTGTTTCATGTTTGACCAAATTTCTAGTAAATAATATTCACATTTATAATTTTAAATAAATTTATTATGAAAATATATTTCGTAATTAATCTAATGGTATTTATTTGATATTATAAATATTTATACTTTTTTACCTATAATTGGTCAAACTTGGTATACTAAGATATGATACTGTTTTAGAATTACATTCTTTTGGGGACGGAGGGAGTATAATCCTAAACCTCACTAGAATATTATTTTGATATGAGGTGTCCACCTCAGCAGTCCACTATCACTTGTAATTAAAGTTCACTAGCACAACCAATTATGATATCCACGTTAACTAGCCACATCATCCACTAACATACATTTAGTTGTCCACATCAGCGTGCCATGCTATCCATTAATATTAGTTTATAATATTTAATTCATTCTTAAGAATTGTATAAATAGATTAATCTCATTTCAAATCAATAGTTCCCGCAGCAGCGCGGGGTATTGCTTCTAGTGCTCTTATAAAACAAAACCCCACTTTATGTTATTAATAGCTATTTTTCTGCATCCACATTGCGCCACGTCATCTCAATTAATTTCGTTCGTCCGATTTCATCGACTCACCTAATTGACATGTAACAGAAATAGCTTATCGAGAACATCATTTATCTTCTTATTCCTTTTCCACCTCTATTGTTAACCCATGGCACCAATAATTTATTCGGTGTCATTAACTCAAGCATGCTTTACGTAGAATCCTTCTTTTCTATTCTACTGCTACGTGCATGCATCATGCACTGACATGACAATTATTTAATTTCCATCGTGCCTTTTTCATGGTTTACCGTTTGATCTTCACATTCTACTATTACGCATGCAACATGCAATTCCACTCCTCCACTTCCTCCACTAACGCATGGCCATCGTGCCATTATTTTCCACTATAATACTTCATTCAGCTTCTTAGTCTACATATATACAGTGCTACACACAGAAAGAAGGGGACAAACTGTAGGCAAATGTTTTGACCTTATGTTTCTTCTTCAGATTGGTTTCAGAATTTTGAAGGTGTGAGATCGATTAATCTACTTTTTTGCCGAATGATTCATTTTTTCACTGTTGTTTCCGGGGCCCAAATTAGCACAAGAAGTACGCCCACACATGTTGCAGCATGTCAGGAAGATTATGATAGATAAGTTTATAAGAGTTTTCAACAGTTAGTGTTCCTTCTACATCATTTTTTGTATCAATCCTGTTGGGACATTATTTCATAGTTATACTTAGCTAAAGCAACACTTTTTCTTCATCTGGGGAATTATTTGACGTTGATCTTCATGTATATATACTACTTTGTTGGATGGATCAACTCACCTGTAATACTATAAGGTTTTATTTCACTTTTGTGCAAGTTCATAATGGCATTCAAGGTTTCATTTTCATGAAATTCTAAAGCAGTTTCTTGCATGATTAATTCTTTTGTCATTCATAAGACACTATTTTTTTAAACTCCCGCAGCAACGCGCAGGGTATTCACCTAGTATAATAAAAATCATATACGATTACCTCTTTGTTCGGTGAGCAACTTCTTCATAATGGGATAATTAACAAAATTTTCCCGGCCTCTGGAGTCTGGACCTGAGAAGAAGACTGAAGCAATTTTGTTTACTCGTGCATATACTTCTAGTTTACATGCAATGAATGCATATATACCGGTCACCTACTTTGCGCATGGCTCACCAGCAAATCAATAAAATTCAAAGAGTGGCGGCATGGCATTCTTCTAGTTTTTATTAGCTTACCGAACATGTCCTGTACGTGGTGAATTTCTCACACAGAATTCAGAAACCCTTTGGATCACGCATCCTGACGAACCAGGGGGCGTTTGCTGTTCGATCGAATGTTTGACATATACATAGAGTATTAAATATAGACTAATTATAAAACTAATTACACAGTTTATGACTAATTTGCGAGACGAATCTTTTAAGCCTAATCAGGCCATGATTTGATAATATGGTGCTACAGTAAACATGTGCTGATGACGGATTAATTAGATTTAATAAATTCGTCACGTGAAGTACTGACGGATTCTATAATTTATTTTTTTATTAGTATCCGAACACCCTATACGAAATCCTCACGTGACACCTCCTGAATTTTAGTTACTGCATCCAAACACCCCTAGCTATGTATCCACGTAATACGAGTATGTATATATAAGGGGAAGGAACGAAATGCATTCCGGTGGTTAGGAAAGGATTTAGCTACCTAGAAGTTGTGACCTAGTGAAGCCAACAATGCGCAAACAAATACTCGAGTAATTTTCAAACGACTGGCGGAGAAGACGGAACATTTGTCAAACGATATGGTCCAATCTAGCTTGTTCTTTTCTCACCTACTTTATTATTTACCTATTGGGTTGGAAACATCCATCCGTTCCTTCCTGTATACACTGCATCATGATAATCATGCATTCAGATTTAATTTCTGATGTCAAAGCACCTGGCCACCTAGGGATTTCTTTCTTCTGAATATCATATGACAGCAATACAAGCTTGATTCGTTTATTAGGCCGGTTGTTCATTGTTCCCATACATTTAAGATCGACGAATTATGCATGGTAGGAGTATATCTTAATTACTATATATACAAATAGTGCAATGAAGAAATAGAACTATTACCATGTAGCTGGCTACAAAATAACTTTATTCTGTAGCCACTTTCAGTTACGATAATTACTATGTTAATTTACGAGATTATAGTAACTCCTTACTAAGTGGTTTACTATAACGTTATGGTAAACATCCCCATGTGTTATAGTAACCCAACTATCGTAAATATGTATTGACATTATCGTAACTTAGTATATAAAATTATCATAAATAGAAGTGGCTATAGAATAATTTATTTTGTAGCTGGCTACTTAATATACTCTCCCACAAAGAAATTACTGTCGAGCGGCGCCTACTATTTATCATCTGAGCTGGGTGCATTGTGTTGTCCCTTGCAAATAAAGTCCATCTTGCCATTGCCCAATGCCCATTCGCTAGTTACAGATTACGTGTACTCAACCCTCCAAGACGACTTGCACTGCTTTCGGTGGGCGGCTTGCATTGTGAGCCATAAATACCCACGTCAGGACCCTCATTTGGTGCGCGCGGTGCCTCTCATCAGTCACCACATAAACTTTCTCTAGCACCAAGCTATAGCAGCACTTGTGTCTTTCTCCCTCCCTGCTTTTTTCTCTCTCGGATCGCTCTCTCTGTCTCTCATACACAAACACAGGAACACACACAGATTGAAGAAAGATGGTTGGAACAATGGAGGAAACAAGCAGGATCCCTGGGTACTTCAAGAACAAGGGCATCCTGATCACTGGCGCAACAGGCTTCCTTGGAAAGAGTAAGCAAGCATGCATGTCTCACTTGCTTGTCTTTCTTGCATGCATGCATTGTGCTCACCTTACTTCACTTCCCCTGTCCTGGTGGTGCTCTCTCTGCCGTCATGCGTTGCTGCAGTACTCGTGGAGAAGATACTGAGGGTCCAGCCGGACGTCAAGAGGATCTACCTCCCCGTGCGTGCGCCGGATGCAGAATCGGCCAAGAAACGGGTGGAGACTGAGGTAACGACTTACTTCATGATGCACTTGTATATCCACAGCATGATCTCTGATACTGTCTTCTGTAGTTCTGTCCCTGAGTTACTAATAATATCTCTCTATTTGGGGTTCTCTTCTTCACTTATTTTCAAGTAACCACGCACTGATTAATAATCAAAGTAGTGGTTCATGTTGCAAAGAACCTGAAACATTTTTCAGATAAAATAGCAGATCTACAAGGTGCCCCACATCTTGGTGTCTGCATGTTTCGTTTATTTTCTTGTTTAATTTATTTATGTGGTACAAAAAAAATAAGGTACGAGTATATGCGTGTGGTTCAAGCCAGCAATATAGGAGTGAGTACTACTCCAGACGTATGTAGTTGTGGCAATGTGGGTACTTGTGGATATGCATGCAGCTTTCTCATGTTGGTACTCCGATAGCGCCATCTATACATCGTAATCCACCACTGAAGTCCTAATCATATCCTAGAACAGCTACTGGTGATGCAAACATATTTAGGTCACCTAAAAATTTCAGAATTTTTTGAAAGAGAAAACACAGTACTGAACATGGTAGTATGTGTGTAGCACAATCGCTAAAAAGATGAGCAAAGCATCACTGCTTAAAGTCAGAACAAACTACTGACAATCAATCATTATTTATGCTGCTGTACGTTGTTGCTAGTGAAGGCTTTCTTCGGATCGGATCAGTTGCATCACATAGACATAGGTGCAGATTAATTACATACAGTACGATCTTTAAAAGTGGTCATCAGGATTTCAAATTGTGCTCTGATCTGTGCAAGGTTTGGTGTAGGCATGCATGCCAAGAAAACTACTCCAATCCTTGAGAACAGTCCGTCCAATTCCGATTATATACTAGTAAAAAGAGTATCAAAGTTAGATGATCCGTATTAGGCTGCCGATTCTGATGACAGCTATTATGATGCTGAATCAAAGTTAGATCCATATTAGGCTGCCCTGCCCAACTCTAATATTCCTTATTGAGGAAATGAATTAGCCTAGGGCCTTGTTTAGATGCCAAAAAATTTGGCGAAATGCTACTGTAGCGATTTTCGTTGTTATTTGGCAAATAGTGTCTAATTATAGTCTAATTAGGCTTAAAAGATTCGTCTCGTGGATTTCGTCTAAACTGTGTAATTAGTTTTATTTTTTATTTATATTTAATGCTTCATGCATGCGTCTAAAGATTCGATGTGACGAGAAATCTTGAAAAATTTTGCAAAATTTTTTGCAACTAAACTGGACCTAGCTAGAAAACTGCAATCAAGCATGAAGCAAGTTATAGTACCACAAGAAAGATCAGCCAGGGCCCCCTTGAGTGCAGCAGCTGCAGATCTGAAACTTGCATGCTTCGGATCGGTGAGCCAAGGAGCCATTTGCAGCTGCAGCTGCAAGTGCAGCACGTTACAGTATTCTAGTACTACATGGTAGGAGTTATGGCGATAATACAGAGTGGGCTGGTGGTTGGTTTGGTCAGGAGCAACGAGTAATTGCATGCCTCATGCGTGCCCAATTCAATGTGCAGCGACAAGCGCTGCCTACTGCCTACTGCCTACTGCCTACTCCTTGATGCGTGCTTGCTGGGAAAACGGTGTGCTGGCCCTGGCCTGCTGGGGAACCCAACCTCATCCTGCTAGCTACTACTATTGCATCATCTGACAGCGCGTTTAGTTCTAGGAATTTGGAACTACGGTAGCACGTTCGTTTTTATTTGGCAATTAGTGTTCAAACAAGGACTAATTAAGCTCAAAATGTTCATCTCGCAATTTTCCACTAAACTATACAATTAATTTTTTTTTCGTCTACATTTAATGCTCCATACATAAGTCGTAAACATTCGATGTGACAGATACTATAGTACTTTTTGGGATTTTGGGTGGAACTAAACAAGGGCCGAATTCTTGTAAAAACTAAGCAGCCACAGCTGCAAAATGCAGACGATCAGGACCTGTGATACATTCTGCAGCACATAATTATTGATGACATGCACGGAATCTGAACTTCAGACATCCTCTCTTTTCCCTTCAATTTGGCCAAATGTCCTTTGCAATATTTCTCATAAGTTGCTCCACATATATTGTACAACTGCATGTGCTGTTTATTTCCTTTTCTTTTTACATGGGATAGATGTAATTTCTGTCTCAAATTAAATCGACTTCTAGAGTTGTCCTAAGTCAAACTATTTTGAATTTGACCAACTTTATAAACAAGAGCACCGATAGCTATGACACCAAATTAATATCGCTGAATACACCATGAAATATATTTTTATTATAATATATTTATTTGGTGTCATAGATATTATTACCCTTTCATATAGAGTTGGTCAAACTCAAGATGGTTTGACTAGAAATTGATTTATTTAGAGAAGGAGATACTACCTTCGTCTTAAAAGAATGCAACTATGAATTATGTGCCACGAAGAGTGATTAACTTAGTTTTTAGTGAATAATATTCACATTTATGGCTTTAAATTAATTTATTATAAAAATACATTTCGTAATTAATCTGATGATATTTATTTGGTATTATAAACATGAATAATTTTTTATCTATAATTAGTCAAACTTAAGATAGTAAAACGTGATACTGTACTAGAATTGTATTCTTTTGGGGACGGAGGTAGTAACATGTATCATCACTCCAATCAAGGGTAATTGTGTTAGGCCAATCTCAATGTGAGTTTCATAGAGTTTTATGGGCATTAAATATGCTGACATTACAGTGTATTTGATGAAAAGAGACATGATAAAAATTTCATATGAGTAGAGATAGTTTTATAGAGATAAAATATGAGTGTGTTTTGAAACTGACGGAACTGGCCTTATAAACTCCCGTCGTGGCAGAACAGTGTTGGAACCATAAAACTGTTGTGTGTCCAGAAAGAGGCAAGGTCCAACGCAAGGGGTCCCTAGGTAGCGGCCAAACTTGAATGCTCGGTTAGCCTTGTTTAGTCGGTCAAATTTTGAAAATTGGGCTGCTATAGTATTTTCATTTTTATTTGATAATTAGTGTTCAATCATGGATTAATTAGGCTCAAAACGTTTGTCTTGTAATTTTCAACTAAACTGTGTAATTAGTTTTTTTCGTCTATATTTAATGGTCCATGCATGTCTCGCATGATTCGATGTGATGACTACTGTAGCATTTTTTTTAGAAAAAGTTCTTGAACTAAGCGAGCCTTAGTCTCGGTGTCGTCCATCAGATCTGTGTGTACTGTACACAAACTTAAGGCACTGCCAATTTTCAGCGTTTGACGTTTCACGCACCTAGACCTTAGTTGACAGAAACTTCTATATATGCAAACCATATCCAGATTGGCACAGAAATGGACCATAGGATACTCTGCAGGCCCTCCTACCCGGCACAACCATGCACTGCACTGCCTCAGAGGCGAGATCGCACGTACCTCACCTGCAGGACCCATCTCTCCATGTGGGCACATCAAGTCTTTTTTTTTTTTTTAAACTGCCATCAATTACTAAAGTTTTAGTTTACTTTAGGGTTGTTTGGATCCAGAGACTAAAGTTTAGTCCGTGTCACATCGACGTTCGGATACTACCTAAGAGGACTAAATATGAGCTAATTAAAAAACTAATTACACAGGAGTAGACTAATTTACGAGATGAATATATTAAGCCTAATTAATCCATCATTAGCACATATTTACTGTAGCACCATATTATCAAATCATGGACTAATTAGGCTTAAAAAATTCGTCTCGTAAATTAGTCGCAATCTGTGTAATTAGTTATTTTTTAGTCTATATTTAATACTCCATACATGTGTCAAACATTCGATGGGACAGGGACTAAAATCCGGTCTAAGGTACCAAACAGCCCCTTAGGGTGTGTTTAGTTAGCGAAATGAAAATTTTTAGATATCACATCGGATGTTTCGGAAACGTCGGAGGGGGTTTTCGGATACTAATAAAAAAAACTATTTACATAGCTCGCCTGAAAACTGCGAGACGAATTTATTAAGTCTAATTAATCCATCATTAACGCATGTTAGTTACTGTAACACTTATGGCTAATCATGGACTAATTAGTCTTAAAACATTCGGTCTCGCGATTTCCAACCAAACTGTGCAATTAGTTTTTTTCGTCTATATTTAATACTCTATGCATGTGCCGCAAGATTCGATGTGATAGTTTAGGGTGAAAATTTTTGGAACTAAACCAGGCCTTAGTCTATGAACTAAAAGTGAACTAAAGTGGTGTTTGGTTCCTTAACTAAAATGGACTAAAGTTATTAAATGATGTGAAAAAAAGACTCTTTTACCCACTTTTTTATCCTAGGAGAGAGAACAATAAATGAGAGTCATGGGTGTACTCAACACCTTTTAGTTTTTTAATTCAGTTTTATGGACTAAATGACTAAATGACTTTAGTCCACTTTTAATCAAGTATTTAGCTATTTAATCCAACTAAAGTGTAAATTTTAGTCTAAAATACTTTAGTCCCTGCAACAAACACCCCATTGGTTAATCGCTAGAAACGTCATCTATGGACTATTAATTAGACACGTTATCCATGGACCATTAATTAGATGCAAGGACATGCATGCCTGTGTAGCATCCAGGCTGATGTGACGTGATTTGAGAGAAGCCGAGGCCATTGAATGTTGGACACCGTGTATAGAGCATTAAATATAGACTAAAAAATAATTAATTATATAGTTTACTACTAATTTGTAAGACAAATTTTTAATCCTAATTAGTTTATGACAGATTAATTATGCTTGATAAATTCGTCTAGCTGATTACCGATAAATTATGTAATTTATTTTTTTATTAGTATCCAAACACTCCGTATGACATCTGACATAACATCCAAAACTTTATGGATTTTAAACGGGGCCTAAGTTTCATTTGCCTCATTTGGTTCTGTTCATGACGGCGCCGGCTCCGCGGCACGCGTCTTGTAGCGTACTATGCTACACTGTGTGTTCTTGTAGCAGGTCCTATAGCGGCTCTGTGGCTCCGGCAAAGACTGCGAGGAGGGTGGCTTCGGCGGCTCCGCCACAGTAGCATAACAAGTGTTGCTACAGTGCCAGAGCCGGAACCACATGGAGTCACACCAAACGGCCCCTCGTACCGTGCCACGTCAGTAAATTTGATCTTGGGAGGATAATTTTGAAGAGAGAGACAGAGAGAGTTTCGTAGAGATTAATCAGGATAAAACCCGTTGCATAGTTAACAAAAAAAAATGATGTGACAGTCTTTGTGATTGGCATGCTGCATGCACATGCAGGTGATCGGGAAGGAGCTGTTTGGGCTTCTCCGGGAGACGCATGGCAAGGGGTTCCGGTCCTTCATCGAGGAGAAGGTCGTCCCGTTGGCCGGAGACATCATCCACGAGAACCTGGGCGTGGAGGGGCCCCAGCTGAGCCAGATGACTCGGGAGCTCAACGTCATCGTCAATGGAGCTGCCACCACAAACTTCTACGAGAGGTACGTATTCTGTTCTGAAAATACTACTTACCAGAACCAGATACTGTACGTACGTATATACGGTATTCTTTCATATGCAGAACTGGGTGGTTAATGCTCTGTTCTGACTGACGCTCCTGCATTGCAACTGCAAATTGGTACCTAAAGTCTGCAGTCAAATGTACCTGTAATGTGCGTGTCCGCAGGTACGACGTGGCCCTGGATGTGAACGTGCTGGGAGTGAAGCATATTTGCCAGCTGGCCAAGCAGTGCCCCAATCTCGAGGTCGTCCTCCATGTGTCCACCGGTTAGTAGGACTGGATTACTGCTGTGTTAATTTGCTGATGATGAATGAAGAAAAGAAACTGAAACTGCAATCGCCCGGCCATCGCAGCCTATGTGGTGGGCGAGAAGCAGGGGGTGATCCTGGAGCGGGCGTTCAAGCAGGGAGAGACGCTGAGGGAGACGGAGGCGGAGCTGGACATCGACGCGGAGCTGCGGTTGGCCAGGGACTACCAGCGGCAGGTCGCCGGCGACGACGCGGAGCAGAAGAACGAGCGGAAGGCCATGAAGGAGCTGGGCCTCGCCAGGGCCCGGGAGTTCGGCTGGCCCAACACCTACGTCTTCACCAAGGCGTTCGGGGAGATGATGCTGGCGCGGGAGCTGGGGGCAGGGCGGCGGCGTCCCCGGCGTGATCGTGCGGCCCAGCATTATCACCAGCATCCAGAAGGAGCCGCTGCCCGGGTGGGTCGAAGGCACCAGGACCATCGACGCCATCCTCATCGGCTACGCCAAGCAGAGCCTCTCCTGCTTCCTGGCCGACCTCCAGCTCACCATGGACGTGGTAACTAACTGCAACTGCTGTTTGCTTGCTGCTCATCGATCAACTACTGCTTCTGCTTGTATTAAGTACTCCTATAGATAGGATAGATCACACACTTGCGATCAGCACATTTAAGTCACTGCACCAACCAACTAATAAATGGCCGCAGATCCCCGGGGACATGGTGGTGAACGCGATGATGGCCGCGACGGTGGCGCACGCGTCGTCGTCGGCCCCGGCCGACCAGCAGAAGAAGACGACGCCGCCGCCGACGGTGTACCACGCGACGTCTTCCCTCCGCAACCCTGCGCCGTACGCGGTGCTGTACCGGACGGGGCTGCGGTACTTCAGCGACCACCCGCGCGTGGGCAAGGACGGCCGCCCCGTGCGCACCCGCAAGGTGCACTTCTTCGGCACCGTGGCCGGCTTCACCGCCTACATGGTGCTCCGCTACAGGCTGCCGCTGGAGCTGCTGCGCCTGCTCAGCCTGCTCTGCTGCGGCCTCCTCTTCTCGCGCCTCTACGCCGACCTGGACCGCAAGTACAGGTTCGTCATGCGCCTCGTCGACCTCTACGGGCCCTTCGCGCTCTTCAGGGGCATCTTCGACGACGCCAACGTGGAGAGGCTCAGGATGGCCATGCCCGTCGCCGACCGGGTGGAGTTCAACTTCGACCCCAAGACCGTCGACTGGGACGACTACTTCTACAAGATCCACATCCCAGGGGTCATGAAGTACGTGCTCAACTAGCTAGCATGCAGTGGTCACAAAGTGCATTGCACGCACCCAAATCGTCGTACGTACTACCTCTACATGTACACCACCAGATCATCATGATCATTGATCATCCATCCCATCCAGATTATTATTGATTATCCATCGGCGTCGGCGGCGTGCTTGTGTATATACACATTGTCATTGTTATCGGTTATCCTAGCACCCGAACGTCCGACGCACGAGATGTGGCGGGACGCCGCTCTCCTTCCCAAACCTGTCCGTCACTGCATCGGAATAGAATGGAATGGAATCCCGTCCACCGTGTCCTTGTCCTTCATTCCCCACCGTGACCTTGTCTGCGTTCCCCAACGCACCACATCCCCCATGCGGCCATGTCCCAAAGAGCACGAAACATTTTAAGTGCAACATCGCAAACATATACGAATACTATGTAGTGCAACATTGGGATATAAATACCGCAACATTACAAAATTATATAGTGCAACATAAAAAAAACATGTACTGGAACACCGAAAAAAATATGTGCTGCAATAATCGAAAATTATGCAATTATGCATATCGAAAAACATGTAATGCAACATCGAAAAAATATGTACTACAACATTGAAAAATTATGTGTTGCAACATTGAAAAATTATATGCTGCAATATCTCAAACAAGCAGTAATCTTTGCAATATCGTAAAAATCAACCATGAAACATAAAAAATGGAAACATTCAAAAATTATTTGTTGCAACAACCTAAAAATCCCATTGTAACATTCAAAAATCATCTGTTGCAACATAAAAAAAACCCATTGCAACACGGAGAAACAGTAAGGACATACAAAATAACAAGGGAATGGGTTCGAGGTGCAGGCTGCTCCAGCTCTAGCCCATCACCTTTGAGCTCGTCGGACAGAGGAGGGAATAGGACCCCAGAGCTCGCTGGAACCCTAGTGTCATACCCAATTTTAAGAATAAAATTGAATGCATAAATCTTATGTATGCTCAGAGATCATTCGCACACATAATCTGATAAATTACAAAGTATCATCACAAGTGTTTATTATATTACGAATAATAACTCATTACAATAGTATCAAGTCTATAGTAAAAGCAGAAGATCTAGATAACTACTCTCCATGAGAGTCTCCAAACTCCACAGCAAGTCTAGTAATCCTCAGAAAAGTCCTCATAACCATTGCCATTTGTTACCCATCCAGGATTTTTATCCAAATAATAAAAATGGACAAGCATAAGTACATCTCGTACTTAACAAGAATAACATGGGGTTATGAATCTCAAGAGGCAGACACGGGTTGTACTGTGGTTAGCATTTTTATTAAGTCACAAATTTTAACACTAATTTAGCTTTCAGCTGTGTTTAAGCCCCAATTAAACCACGTGATCATATAAAGCATTTTATCACATAATTAATCATCAACAATAATAGTCCTCTATTCTATAAGTTTTTTGGGCCGCTCGTGTCCATGAGCACAGCTGTTATAATAGTTTTAATAGTCTACAGAGTTTGTACATCTTTACCCGAGAGCTGTGATTTACCCTTTCGCCCGGGGTAGCTAATCTCTTATCCACTGCCAAGGAAGATCGACAGGGTTCACTATGAAGCCTTTCAAAGGTTTCCCTAACAAATTAGTAGCCGCTAGGTTTCCTCGGTAAGCAGATGTAGGAACCCTACTTTCAAATGACACAATTCCTTTGCGGCTATACTCATAAGAAAAGAGGCTGTCCTATACCCATCGTGTCAAGCCTCTTTTGCGCCCTTTCGGGTAACCACTAACAAACTAGAAAAGATCCTACTACTGAGCTAAAGCTAGAGTCATGTGGCACTCCCGGTTGTACTGTATGTCCTAACTTTTGCTGACAGATAAGTCTTTAGAGAGGGCCAAGAGCATCATGACAAAAATAAGAGCTCTCTTGCCCTATGGCCTTGTTTAGTTGGCAAATTTTTTTAGAAATGGTACTGTAGCATTTTTGTTGTTATTTGGCAGTTAGTGTCCAATCATAGTCTAATTAGGATTAAAAGATTCGTCTCGTGAATTTCGTCTAAACTGTGTGATTAGTTTTATTATTTATTTATATTTAATGCTTCATGCATGCGTCCAAAGATTCGATGTGACGGGGAATCTTGAAAAATTTTGCAAAATTTTGGGAACTAAACAGGCACTATGTCCAAGTTGCTAAAAAGCAAGTTTTAATATGTGTTGCATATAACCATTAGTCATTGTTCAGATCATGTATAATTAAATTAAGCGCTTGTGTAGGGTCGAGATGACGGACTAGAGGGGGATCAATAGTCCTTTCTAAAATTAATCGTATCGACTAACCGGAATAAATACGAAATTAAAACTAACGGTCTAGCCAAGACTACACCCCTCTATTTAAGTTCTCTAGCTCCTTACAAAGATTCTAAATAGGCAACAAAGATGTCGGGCTAGTTAGAGCTCACCTAACAATTCTAGCTTACAAGGTCACATAAACCTATGCAACTAGAACTCAAGCAAACGGGGAAGCTTCTACATAATCTAGTAAGCAAAAGCATAAATCTCCTAAGCTCACTAGCAATGCTCAATAATAAGGCTACACAAGCCAAATTATAGAGCGTAAATTACTTAGTTATACAAACTAAGCAATGTGACTAACAAGGTTACTCAAACCGAATTAGTCACGCAAGGGAGCTACTTCTATGCTACACAAGTAAGAAGGTACTCCCTCCGTCCCGATATGTTAGTCATTTTGGCTCTGTACTTGTGCGGCGGAAAAGTGTCTAAACCTAGACATGAATGATGTACAGGTGCATTAAATATTGTATGAATATAGACATCTACTAGCACTCCTAGAACGACACAATGGGGGACAGAGGGAGTAACTAGCAAGCTACACAAGCTAACTAATTACAAGAGCAACTACACAAGCACAATATATGAAAAGTAAATACAAGCTTGTGTAACGAGGATGCAAACCAACGGGAAGACAAGGATGACATGGTGATTTTTATCCCGAGGTTCACGTGCTTGCCAACAAGCTAGTCCCTGTTGTGTCGACCGTTCACTTGGTGGTTCGACGGCTAATTGGCACCACACCAAGCCCACATGTTGGGCGCCGTAAGAACCCCATGAACCAAGTGAGGGTAGCTCAATGACATGCCCTACTAGAGTTGGTCTTCATGGCTCCCGCAGGGTGAGCACAATACACCTCACAATCACTTCTTCGGAGCACCGCACAATCTTCTTTGCGTGCTTCGATGGAGACCACCACCAAGTCGCCTAGGAGGTGGCAACCTCTAAGAGTAATAAGCACCACCGGCTTGCAACTCGATCACCTAGTGCCACTCGATGTAACCTCACGATACAATCGCACTAGAAACACACTCACACTCAATCGGATGATCACTATCAAGCGTATGTGTGTTACAGGGCTCCCAAGCACACCTACACAAGCCACCAAGGTTTAAGGGTGCTCAGCAACCAGCCCAAGGCCGGAGAAGGGGTTATTTATAATCCCCCACATGAAATAGAGCCATTGCTCCAAAGTTCCTCTTTTCTACAAGGGCACCTGACAGGGTGGTGCCTGGCACCGGACAGGGCGGTGTCCCTCCAGTGGTCAAGTCCCAAAGGCTAATTTGAACTAGCCATTGAGCCCCTGGCACTGGACATAGGGTGGCGGTGCCCCCAATGAGTTTCCCCCTCTCTGAAAAAGTGGCAATGCCACACCGCCATGGTCACCAGACTGTAGAGCTATTCGTTAGCTTTCCAGCACGCTAGTCCCTGTTTAGCTATTCGTTAGCTTTCTGAAAAATCCTAGATCATCGAAATCGAAGTTCAGAGCTAGGAGTTATGCCCGAAATACGAAAGGGTGCTGCTGCTATTTTTGGGCACCGCCCTTGGGTGGTGGTTGAAGGCTATAGTTTGGTTTTGGTGAATTGATGAAACCCTAAGTGCTAACCTATTGCTCTAAGTGATCACGAGATACATAGCACATTCCAAGTGGTGGAGCAAACAATCAAGATCATGGTGATGGTGGAGAGGCCATGGTGATCAAGTGCTCGGCTTGGAAAAGAAGAAAGAGAAAAACAAAAAGCTCAAGGCAAAAGTGAAACTTGATAGGAGCTTTTTGGTTTGGTGATCGAGACACTTAGCGAGTGTGATCACATGTAGGATCGGTAGCCATACTATTAAGAGGGGTGAAACTCGTCGTGAAATGCGGTTATCAAAGTGCCACTATATGTTCTAACTCATTGCATATGCATTTAGATTCTAGTTATTGCTAACACCCTTGAAAATGTTTATGAAAATATGCTAACACATGTGCACAAGGTGATACACTTGGTGGTTAGCATATTTGAGCAAGGGTGGAGAAGTTGGTGAAGTCGAGGAAGTTACTGGAGCTGACCAGACGTAGGACCTGACGCTGGACCTACGCGTCTGATTAGTGGTGTGCAGTGGCGCGGTCTTAGTCTTGCTGACCGGACGCTGGAGGAAGAAGGCGATCTGACACGTGGTGCATGGGTCCGATCATTGCTGACGTGAGGCCGCTAGACTAAGTGCGTGGCGGCAGTATGGACTGGACGCTAGGCAGCATTAGGTCATGGTTGAGCGGACACGTCCAATTAGTAAAAACTGGTTCTGGAACGTCTTTGGAAGTGATCGGACTCCATGTTAGGGAGCATCTAGTCATTCTATTTGCGAGTCCAATCTCGGCATGAAGGCAGCGCGGGGATGCATGAACGGACGCTGGGCAGCCACATCAGGTCTTGACGTGGCGTGTCTAGTCGTCACTTAAGCAAGCGCGCGAGCGAAGTGTCCGTTGGGATCGGGCGATCGTCGTTGAACACGGGGAACATGTGAACGGCTGGCAGTGACCGGACGCTGGGGCTGGTGCGTCCGGTCAGCATGACCAGCGCGTCTGGTCACCCTGAGTGGCAGTGCAGTGAAAGCCTAATGGCTCTATTTCGTGGGGGCTCCTATTTAAGCCCCATGGCTGGCTCAAGCTCACTCTCTTAGCCATTTG